ATCTAGGCATGTTGGCACACACCTGTAATCCCAGCTACTTGTAAAGGTGAGGCGGGAGGATCAAGAGTGCAGGAGCCTGGGCCCTAGAGCGCATTCAAAGTCAGAGTGAGTAATTTAGACCTTGAGTTCAGAGTGGAACAGTCACCAGCAGTAGTCAGGCAGGCCCTTGGGTTTAATCTTTCTGAACACAGGAGAAGAAAAAGAACAGAGGGAGGGAGACACAGTTTAAAGATTAAATTCATTTTTGTTATTCTGTTTTATTCAGGCTAGTATTAAGTTGAATTTGCAGATCCTAATTTCTTATCACCTAAAATTAACATTGTACAAAGTATGGCTTCACCAGAAGGCAGGCTTAAGAGCAGTGCACACTCTGCACAGAAAATAAGTGTATGTTGACAGGCATCGGTCAGACCTGGTGTTTGAACTGTGTACAGACCCCACCCAGGAACTGCTAAGAAGAATCCTGTCCTGGGCTGGGCATGGCGGCACAGGCCTTTAATCTGCGCTCAGGGGCAGGGGCAGGGGCAGTCAGATCTCTGAGTTTGAGACCAGTCTACAGTTCCAGGACAGCCAGGACTACACAAAGAAACTCTGTCTTGAAAAACAAAAATAAATAAATAAAAGATAATTTCCCAGCTGAGTGCAACTCTTGGGAGGCAGGTGGATCTCTGTGAATTTGGGGCCAGCCTGGTCTACAGAGTGAGTTCTAGGACTACACAGAGAAGCTGTGTTTTGGAAAAAAAAAAAAAGAAGAAGAAGAAGAAGAAGAAGAAAAAGAAGAAAAAGAAAGAAAGAGAGAGAGAGAGAGAGAGAGAGAGAGAGAGAGAGAGAAAGAAAGAAAGAGAAGAAATATTTTCCATTCATTTCCTGCTCGTGAGGTAAAGCAGGGTTGGTCCATTGTAGCTGAGATGAAGCAAGTGCTCCCCCTCCTGCACGGCTGTGAGAGCAGGAAGTCAGGATGCTTGAGATGGGCCTGTGCACTGATTTAGTCCTTTAAGATACTGGGAGCATCATGGTTTTGTTTTAGAAAAAAACAATTGGCATGTGTGGTAGTACATGCATTTAATGCCACTCTCCAGGCTGAAACAGATCTATCTCTGTGACGTCCCAGCCAGCCTGATCTACATAGTGAGTGTCAGGTCAGCCAGGGCTGCATAGTGAGACCCTGCCCCCACCAAAGAGGGAGGGAGAGAGAGAAAAAAATTCCATGAGCTTATAGATTATAGATATACTCGGAAACTCTCCCATTTTGTTAGAAGGATGTTTTTAGAGTGTTCTTTCTGTAATAGTTAACCGGAAAGTAACACCAAGCAGACATTAAGAAATTTGGTTGATGGGGCTGGAGAGATGGCTCAGTGGTTAAGAGCTTTGCCTGTTCTTCCAAAGGTCCTGAGTTCAATTCCCAGCACCCACATGTGCTCATCTGTAATGAGATTTGGTGCCCTCTTCTGGCCTGCAGGGATACTTACATGCAGGCAGAACACTGAATACATAATAAATAAATAAATCTTAGAGAGCGAGAGAAAAGAAAGAAAGAAATTTGGTTGAGGCTGGGCGGTATGGCACACGCCTTTAATCCCAGCGCTCTGGAGGCAGAGGCAGGTGGATCTCTGTGAGTTCGAGGCCAGCCTGGTCTACAACAGCTAGCTCCAAGACAGGGTCCAAAGCTACAGAGAAACCCTGTCTCAAAAAACCAAAAAAGAAAGAAAGAAAGAAAGAAAGAAAGAAAAAAAGAAAGAAAGAAAGAAAGAAAGAAAGAAAGAAAGAAAGAAAGAAAGAAAGAAAGATAGATTTGGTTGACCTGAGTTAGGTTCCCCTAGGCAGCATGTGACTGGTGACTGGCACTCCTGTAACTTCATCTGAGGCATATGATGCCTGTCCAGCCTCTAAAAACAAACAATAAATGTTTTTATAAAATGAATATTGTCTAGCACTTGTTTTATCTTTTTGAGACAGGGTGTTTTTTTGTTTTTGTTTTTCGAGACAGGGTTTCTCTGTAGCTTTGGAGCCTGTCCCGGAACTAGCTCTTGTAAACCAGGCTGGCCTCGAACTCACAGAGATCCGCCTGCCTCTGCCTCCCGAGTGCTGGGATTAAAGGCGTGCGCCACCACCGCCCAGCGGAGACAGGGTGTTTCTATGAAGGCCTGAAACTCACAGGGTTCCTCCTACCTCTCCCTCTTGCTCAGATTAAAGGCGTTCAGTACCTCAAATTGCTTGTTTGGCATTTTAAAGTAATCTATTGGGACGGGAAAGATGGCTCAACAGTTAAAAGCAGTTGTTGCTCTTGTAAAGGCCCCAGGTTCAGTTCACAGCCCCCTGCATGGTGGCTCACAACCATCTATAACTCCAGTTCCAAAGGGTCTGATGTCTTCTGGCCTCTTTGGCCACTGGGTACACATGTGGTGCACAACACATACACACGTAAAGCACTCTTACATATTAAATACATCTCAAGAAAGAAGCAATCTCTTTCTACTTATAACAGCAAAACTAACATTTTTCTTGGTTCTTTGGTCTACAGGCTCAGAAAAAGTGTTTGAACCAGACCTCCCCCATTCCCTCGTCCAAGACCACAGATGGCCTGAGGCCAGCGCAGATCCCTGGGCTTTCAAGCACAGCACTGCCAGGTCAGGAGCCTTTGCGAAAGTTTGCCGGAGTCTGCCCCATCCTCCCAGTGCCTGAAACATGAGCTGCTGCCTCCCTCTGTCTTCACAGAGTCTTTCTTCTGAGTCTCCCTGAACTGGAATTTGCCCTGTCATCCCTTTCCTCTGTCCCCTCCCACCCAAAGCAAAGGGTGTTTCTGAGAAGGGAGAGCTCTGGGTTTGATGAGCAAGGCACACAGAACCTTGTCATTAGCCCCATGTCACGATGTGCATGCGTGTTCAGAAGCCCCACCCCCAAACTGGAGACCTGTAGGTTGCATCCTGTCTTAAGGTGCTTAACAGTAGCTGCTCGACTCCTCTCGTGCTAAGGTAAAGCAGCTTTGCCCACAGCTGTGCGCATAGTAACCCTTCTTGCCAGCTCAGTGCATAATCAAATATAGGAGCTCGAGCATCCTTCAGAATTCCCTCTGGGCCTCCTTCCTGCAGGTGTAGTTTGGAGTTCTGAAGTACTGACTGCAGGCTGAGACCTCGTTCTCAGACTACAGGCACTGGAAACTACATATGCATCTGCAGTTCTGTTTATTCTCGTAGATTCCGTGGCTCTACTGATTCCTACTCAGAGTTGGATAGCACCTATCTCTGCCTTCATAGCTGATAGATCAGAGTGTCCTGCTCCCTTCCTCCCCACAGGTTTTTATCAAGAAATCCCTTTTAGGCTGGGGGTGGTGTCCATACCTCTAATCCCAGCACTCTGGAGGCAGAAGCAGGGTAATCACTGCACAGTCAAGACCAGTCTGGTCTACTTAGCAAGTTTCAGGTCAGCCAGGGCTACAAAGTGAGACCTTACCTCAAAATAAGAAAAAAGAAAGAAGAAAGAAGCCCCTTTCATGCACATGCTGGACCTGACTGTCCTCTGCATTCATTCTAATAGGACAGGATTCTGGAAGCAAAATGATGCCAGCATCCTTGGGGACTACACAGCCACAGCAGGAAAACTCGGTTGGATCATCCCCTAGCCAGACGGCTGTGCAGGTAGGCGACCGTCTGGTGTTTGCGTGCCCTCATGGCTTTAAAGGAATGAGTGTGTGGTCTCCAGAGGCACTGTGCACACAGCTAGTCTCCAAGTGCTGCAATACCACGCTGAAGGTTTCCCAGGAGGCCAGGCTGGCCGCATTCATGTTTCCAGGATGAATCTTTCTTAGCTGTTCCTGACATGTTGCCGATGCCTCATGAATCCACCATAGTCAAGGCCCTGGAGTGTGTGCAAGGCCCTGGGATTGATCTTCAGAAGTGCTGCACGCACGCCGACAAGCCAACATATGCTAGACACTTAAAAAGCTGCACTCGTAGGGTTGGAATTGTAGTTCTTTTGTCATTCATGGGACAAAATACTTGACAAAGCAACTTAAGGGAGGAAGGGGTTTGGGGCTCACACTTTGAAAGCACAGTCCCTTGGGGAAGAACGTTGTCGTCGTAGCGGAGTGTAAAGGAGTGTGAAAGAGTTGTTTCTGCCGTCAGGACACAGGGAGATTGCTGGTGCTCAGCTCCTGTCCTCCTCATTCATCCAGGACCCTAGGCCATGGGGCAGGGCCTGCCCTCACACCTCAGCCCGGTCTCCTCACTCCCTCCCACATGTGCCGAGAGGTTTCTTTCCAGAGGGATGTTAGATCCTCTCCAGTTAACAGTTGAGAGTGACCATCACAGGGATGTCACTCAGTAGCTAGCTTTTGCACAAGGGCCAGGGCTCAATCCCCAACACTGCGCGGAGGGGAAATCACAACAGTCTTGTCAGAGGTGGTTCTGTCCCCACAAATCTATGAGTTCCAGGGCAGCCAGGGTTTATAGCAAGACTCAGAAACCAAGCAAAGTGGGTCTGTTCATGGTGAACATGGAGATTTGTTTTGTTCTGTTTGTATATGAGGATCAACCATGAATGCGTGAAACAGCTGTTTCCCTGGTCCTTTGACTCACCTTGTACCTGTAAATCTCAAGGCTTTTCAAACTACTGGTCTCATGAAGGAAGGGAAGCTGTTTTGTGTCTAGCTCTCTAAGGCCTTGGTTTCTTCCCCAAAGCTGCTAGAAGCTGCTGTGCTGTACAGCTTCCTGTAGACTTAGCCCTGGTGCTCTTGGCTACAAAGAAGCTGGCCACGCTGGCTTGTTTGGGGTTTCAGCAGGACACATTTCAAAGTCTTATTTGTTGATAGATAACAGGAAGCTCTTGGAGCACAGCAGCTTTGATCTCTAGATCTGTTTTGTGACTTTTCCTGTGGTTTATTTTAGGTGGATGGTCATTCAGGACAGAAGAGGCCCGCCACCAAACAGCTGACTAAAGGAGCTTTGTAAGTCATGCTTCTAAAGGAAAAATTCTCGGGTTTTCTCAGGGTATCTTAGGGTCCCTTGTTTTCTCTAAATACACCCCCACACCCTACTATAATGGTGAGTTTGTTATTGTTAGCCTTTCTACAATGGGCTTTGAGTGACTCACACCTTTAATCCCAGCATGTGGAAGGCAGAAACAAGAGATCTCTGGGTTTCTGTGAGTTAAAGGCCAACCTGGTCTCCACAGTGAGCTCTAGACCAGCCTGGTCCTCACAGTGAGCTAGCTCTAGACCAGCCTGGTCCTCACAGTGAGAGCCGGGGAGATGGCCTAGTTGTCAAAGTGCTTGCTCTGCAAGCATGAGGATGAGGGATCACTCCCTGACCCGTGTAAACCAAGCCAGGCACAGCAGCCAGCCCTCTGATCCCAGACTGGGAGGCAAAGCCAGGTGGACCCCTGGGAATCTCTGGCTGGCCAGCTTTGCCTACTTAGCCATCTGTTGGCAACTGAGAGAACCAGTCTCAAAAAGGCAAGGTCAGGGCCCATGAGATGTCTCAGCAAGGGAAAGGTGCTTGTCACCACACCCAATGGTCTGAGTTTGGTCTCTAGAGCCCACACAGCAGAAGGAGAGATGTGAGGTTGTCCTCTGACCTCTGCCTGTGTGCCTGGATGCTTGTGCACACTTACACCAGAGGGGCGGGCTTGACGTGTGTGCACACTTACACCAGGGGGTGGGGCATGTTGATTACTTTGAAAATCATTTCCTACAGTTTGCTTTCATCAGGGCCGGTAAACAGATCAGATGAAGCGCATTGTTTGCTCTTTTGCTCTTTTTGCTCTGAGCAACCGCACACTGATCCTGGTGCACACGTTGTGTTTCTGAGGTTAGGGTCATAGAAATAGTGTACAGGATACAGGTGTGGAAAATGCATAGCCACTGTACTGTAGAAATGGCATTGCTGCAGGGCAGTGGTGGTGCACGCCTTTAATCCCAGCACTCGGGAGGCAGAGGCAGGTGGATCTCTGTGAGTTCGAGGCCAGCCTGATCTGTAAGAGCTAGTTCCAGGACAGCTAAGGCTGTTACACAGAGAAATACTGTCTTGGGATAAAAAAAAAAAGAAAAGAAAAGAAAAGAAAGAAGGAAGGAAGGAAGGAAGGAAGGAAGGAAGGAAGGAAGGAAGGAAGGAAGGAAGGAAAGAAGGAAGGAAGGACGAACGAGCATTGCTAATAAATGGTTTGACTGATGCTCTCTTGATGTGACCTCACCTGAACCCGCTGTCTCCTCTGAAAGCATCCTCCAACAGTTGCAGAGGGACCAAGCCCATGCCGTGACCCCTGACAAAAGCCAGTTCCAATCACTAAGTGACACAGTGCAGAGACTGCTGTCCTACCACGTGTGCCAGGGCTCCATGCCCACGGAGGAAGACCTGCAGAAAGGTGAGCCGCCGCTGCCCACCCACAGCACCCGCCGGTAGCCCGGTGGCTCTTACCACGATGTAGCTTGTTTGCTGTGTACTCAGTGCCCCAGCCCCTGGGTCGGGCTGTGACTGATCCAAAGGGGCGCACGGTGAGGCTGCTGGCTGTAAATGGGGTGGCTTTCTTCCAGGTACTTTGCAGTGCACATGAACTTGACGCTTGCCGTTGTACCAAGTCCAAGAATTAGTTACTTCCCTGAGGTCCCAAAGCAAATCTAAGTCATTGTATGGGTTTCAGGAAACTGACAAGGTTGGGGACAGGGCCCCTTCTCCAATCCAAGAACCCCACTCATTCTGGCCTGTACCTGTTGTCTAAGTCCAATAGCAGGGATTTGGTAGCACCCCCACTTTTCCTCCCCCTGCCAACTCTCCATGACATCGTCTTCCTCCACTGCCACTGGTCTGGATCCAGGGCTTCTGATCTCCAGACCCACTGGGGCTTCCGGGGAGGTCTGATGAGTGGCTTCCTGCTCAGCAGTAAAGAACTGTGAAGATTCTGAGACGGAAGGAATTGGAAAATGGGACATTTCTTGAGACTAAAAGTCAAAACCCAGAGCCACAGATCATGACCTGCAAGGTGTCATGGACTGGTTTGTGTCCCCCCCTCCCCCCGCCAGACAGATGGACTTTATTTGTCCATCATTCTATTCACCCTGCTTCTGAGAAGGGACAGAGCTGAGGGAACCAGTTCATTGGCTCTGTGCAGTGCCCTTCCTTCCAGGGCTTCTTAGAGCAGTGGTAATACGCTGTTGGTTTCCCGGGCTGTGTTAGCCTGAGTTCCTCACCGCACAGTGCAGGATGCGTGAGCAGAGAAGGCTAATCCAAGGGGGGTATCTGTAGCACGTCCTTGCTGCGGGTGGGTAGGCTGTGGGGATGAGTCCATGCCACCAGTCTCAGGAAACAGACCCAGTCTTTCTTACTGTGTTTTTCTCTTTTCAATTTTTCTTTTTTAAAGTGGACAATGAATTTGAAGAAGTTGCCACTCAGCTCCTCAAAAGGACCCAAGCGATGCTGAACAAATACCGATTCCTGCTCCTAGAAGACGCCATGGTAAAGTGTGCTCTACCTGACCTGAGTGGGTCTGCCAGGCCGAGGCGCAGAGAGAGGGTTCAGGAACTTCCACACCCAGAGCGTAGTTTATAAAGCAGGGATGTGTGAGGTTAGAGGACAACTTCCCAGTTAGCCATCACTGAGGGTGACAGTGGCAGAAGCCACCAACAACCATTTCTGATTTGAGAGAGAGAGAGAAGAGAGAGAGAGAGAGAGAGAGAGAGAGAGAGAGAGAGAGAGAGAGAGAGAGACTTAGTCTGAGCCATCTTAATAAGACTGCCTCACCAGGCACACTTTTAATCCCAACTCTCAGAGGCAGAGGCAGGCAGATCTCTGTGAATGTGAAGCTGGCCAGGCTTACAAAGTGAAACCCTAGCTCTAAAAACCAGGTCTAGCCAGGTGGTAGGAGTGGATCTCTGCCAGTTCTAGGACAGCCAGGGCTACACAGAGAAACCCTGTCTCCGGGGGGAAGGGAGGAAGCTGAGGCAGGATGATCACCCCAAGTTTGAGGCTAGCCTAGGCTACATGGGACCTTGTCTTCAAACAGCAGCAAATGTAATAGCTTCTCATGAGTAGCACATGTGGAGCGCTAGAGTATCTGGACGCCAAACTCACTTCTTGGTGCTTCATTCCCTTGATCAAAGCACCCAAAGTGACTGGCTCTCTCCTCCTCAGAGAATCAACCCCTCTGCCGAGACTGTGATGATCGACAGGATGTTCAACCAGGAGGAAAGAGCTTCCCTGTCTCGGGACAAGCGTCTGGCGCTCGTGGATCCTGGTAAGAAACATCGGGGGGCAGGGGCGGGGGCTAATAGTCCCTGAGCAGTGTGGCCTTTGGGGGTCTGAGTGACTCAACCTGCGGTGAATTCTGGGAAGGGAAAACCAACAGTTAATTTTTTTTAATGGTTTCCCCTATTAAACTTCAAAACCTGTTGTTCTAGTCTTTGAGAGCTAAATTAAACCAGAGGCTTCTCCGCCTGTAAGGAAATGAAAGGCACAGTTAGGAAACCGTCAGTGAGGCATGGCCCCGGGCCCGAGCCAGAAGCCCTAGTGCCCCACACAGAGGCTTTTCTCTGTCCCACCTCCTGCATGTAGTCCAGAGTGTCCCCAAACCTGAGCTCCCCTCACCACCTCGTTCTTGCTTTTGTTTGCTGAGACAAGGTCTCATTGTGTAGCTCTGGCTGTCCTGGAACTCACTGTATAGACCAGGCTGGCCTCAAGCTCACAGGGTCTATCTCTGCCTCCCAAGTGCTGAGATTAAAGATGTGAGCCATTACACCCAGCTTCAAATCTGTCCTTTTAAAATTAGATTTAATTTTTTTCTCTTTTTCAGGATTTTATTTTTATTTTTAATTAGGGAGTGGGGCATGTATGTTTATGTTATGCAAGTGCGGGTATACTCAGAGGCCAGAAATGGTGTTGGATTTTTTGGGGTTGGAGTCAAACAGTATGACCCCCCCTGAGACAGCTGCTGGGAAACGAACTCAGGTCCTCTGGAAGAACAGTACACACTCTTACCTACTGAGCCATCTTTCCAGACCCTTAATTTTCAGTTGTGTTTATGTTTGTGCCTGTGTGGATATATGCGCTTGAGTTATAAGGTGCCTGGAGGCCAGAGGTGTTGGGTCCCTGGAGCAGGAGTTACAGGCAGTTGTGAGCCACCAAACATGGCTTCAGGAAAATGTACTCGGGTCCTCTGACTAGTAGTACATGTTCTTAACTGCTGAGCCGTATCTCTAGCCCACTCCTCTTTTTAAAGATAGGAGTCTTGCTAATATAGTCCTGGCTAGCTTGGGATTCACTTTGTTGATCACACTGGCCCCAAACTCCCAGCAATGGGAGGTGTAGGCAGACAGGAAGATTACAGATTTTTAGCCACCTTGGGCTATGAGTGAAACTTTGTCTCAAACAAAAAGTACTTACTGAGAGAGGAGGGTCCCGAAGGAAGAGAACTCCATCCTCCTGCCTCTGCCTCTGCCTCCATGTGCTGGGATTATAGGACCATACCACCACACTCCGCTCAAAAGCATTTTAAAATAGACCAAAAAATCTGGGCAGTGGTGGTGCACACCTTTAACCCCCAGTACTTGGAGGCAGAGGCATGGGGATCTCTGAGTTCGAGGTCACCCTGGTCTATAAAGTGAGTTCTAGAAGAGATAGGACGACATAGAGAATCCCTGTCTCAAAATAAAATAAATAGAACAAGCAGTTTTCTTTTTCAAAAAACATTATTGTGAATGCTTGTGTATGGCTGTGTGGCTAGACACACCCAGGGCACAGCGCCTGTGTGGGGTCACAGGAGAGCTTTTGGGCGTCACTTCTCTCTGTTCTCTGTGAGTTCCATGGTTGGACTCGGGATGGCAGGTGTGCGACAAATACTTCAGCCTCTGAGCCGTCTCACCAGCCTGAGCTCTAACACTTTGTTCTGCCTTGCTTAGGTGCCCAAGTTGATCTCAAGTTCATGCGTCTAAAGCCATGCTCCTGCCTCAGTCCCCTGAGTAGCTGAGATTCGAAATTGTAAATCATAAACACCATAGTCCATGAAACATAAGTGTTTATACCATCTATAAAAATTATTTTAGAATCACATGCTGGGCTGGAAAGATGGATCAGTGGTTAAGAGCACTGGCTGCTCTTCCAAAGGACCCGGGTTCATTTCCCAGCAACCACATGGTGGCTCACAACCATCTGTAATGAGGTCTGGTGCCCTCTTCTGGCCTGCAGGCATACACACAGAATATATGTATTATAAACAAATATCTTTTTTAAAAAAAATTAAAAAATCAGTTAACAAAAGAAAAATGGGGGATAGGTGTGTGGCTCTCTTGGTAAACAGAGGATCTCCTTTGCATGCACAAAACCCAGGTGAAGCTGCCCACATGGAAGCTGGCCCCATAGCCTTGGCTATGCCCCTCATTAGATTGTCTCTGCGTGTTTCTGCGAAGTAGTCCTGTGGGGTGTGCTGGCCGGAGGATGAGCCGAGGGGAAGAGGCGCGGCCTGCCGGGATTGAAGGACTGCCCGCTGCTCCTGATTAGGAGGATTTGACCTGGGCTGGTCCTCACTCTGACCATTTCATCTCTTTCTACTCTCATTTCCAGAGGGTTTTCAGGCCGATTTCTGTTGTTCCTTCAAACTTGACGAGGCTGTACCTGAGACACCACTTGACAGGAGTGACCAGCATCGCAGCAAAACCAGCTCTCTCCATCAGGCGCCCAGGGCCCAAAGCAGAGACCGAGCCAAGCCAGGCGTGGCAGAAGCAACGAATCATGACCAGTTTCATCTAGTGCCTAACCACATCGTGGTCTCTGCTGAGGGAAACGTTTCGAAAAAGTCAGAAGGCCACGGTAGAACACTGAAATATGACAAAGGGGGCTTAGGCCAATACCGGGGTGTACCAGAGGACAAGGGCAGCCGGAGGGACCCTGCCAATGCCAGCGGGTGCTCTCCAGGCCCCGACGGCCACCGCAAGACTATGGCCAGGCCGGATCATGACGCTGAGAGCAAGCTCCCTGGCATCCTGACCAGCTCGCACCTGGAGATGCCGTGCCTCGACTCCTTCCAGGACAAAACCCTGAGGAATTCCCCAAAGAATGAGGTTTTACACACAGACATCATGAAAGGGTCGGGTGAGCCCCAGCCGGATCTCCAGCTCACCAAGAGCCTAGAGAAAACCTTTAAGAACATTCTGGAGCTCAAGAAGGCGGGGCGGCCACAGAGTGACCCCGCAGCCAGCGGCGCCGTGGACCTTGACTTCCCCAGCTTTTCTCCAATGGCTTCACAAGAAAACTGCCTGGAAAAGTTCATGCCGGACCACAGTGAAGGCGTCGTGGAGACGGACTCCATTTTAGAAGCAGCTGTAAATAGTATCCTTGAGTGTTAGTAGCAGCCGCCCTCCCCGACCCCGGACCAGTTACATTCGCTCCCAGCAAAGCCCGTGGAAACATCTCCTGTCTCCAGCCTGCTTGGTCCTCCGTCACAGGTTCTTCTTTCTAATCTCCACCCTGTTCTTTTGAAGAGCAATACACGTCGTCGTGGCTGCAGGCAGACCCTCAGTCAGCCCATCTCTCTCTAGAACGCAGTCCGATAGGCCCCACACATTTCAAGTGTTCCGAAAGCCTTTATGGCCATTGTTGTTCGTTTGTTTCGTGGTTTGTTTGTTTTTAGCGCTGTCACTCGAGAGACCACAGTACACTTGACCCTGGGTAAAATTTCGACAATCATAGGTCATTTCAAAAGAACAGACTTATTAAAGAAAAATCAAACAGGACTTATAGAAGCTACTTTTTTACAGAATTCTCACTGCAGCTCCAAACTAGTGGTTTTGTTTTTGTTTGGGGGAAAGGGTATTTGTGAAGGGAAGTCTGCATGACTTTCCCCAGGGCTCAGTGCTCTCTGAGCAGTGGGTATCCGGTTGCTCTGCCTGGAACCCCACAGCCCTGGCCCAGACGTCCATAGCATCTACGCAGACCGTTTGTAGGCCTGCCTTCCCTCCCGAACAGCCAAGTGTTTACGTCATGCTGCTGCTGAAGAAGCAAAACTTTTTTTTTCTTTTTTAATTTTAGCGTATCCATGTTGAATTGTGTCTGAGAACGCTCTGTTCTTAGCCCCAGGTATGCAGCTTGAAAGTTCACCCAAGCTCAGTAGGGAACACCGGGAACCAGTTCAAGGACAGCGGGCTAGGGAGGCTGCTGGAGCCACCAGGGTCAGTGTGCAACTTAAAAGAATTTTGCATTTTATAATCGGGTGAAGTCAACGCACCCTGTGCTTTTGATTGTTGCTGAATTCTGTTTTGCTTAACCTTTGTCTCCCTGCCCTCAGCAAACAGCCCAGCAGTGAGTGCTGTCACTGGAAACTGCTTTCTTTATCAGTTTAGACTTTGGGAAGGGGACTTTAGCCTGTTTGTGCTTCCTGTTTGTGAGACCAGTAGTCAACACTGGCATTGATCATTCCCAGCACCGAAAACCGAGGGAGGGCAGCAGCCAGATGTCACCTCCAGAAAGAGGGGGACCCTCACGGGTGGCCCATGTTTGAGTTAGCAAGCCTTCCTCTTTATTTATGTCCTTTCTGGGGAAGGTTGCCCAGTTTTCTCTTCTTGTGGGCCTATCCCAGGGCACAGTGTTTCTGATACTTCTTGCATTCTTTACATCATGGTAACCATTGCTGAGAAAGCCAGGTCATGGTGCTCCTGCCACCACCACCCCCCCACCCACCTGTCTGACCCTCTGGGATCTGGAGTTTGTTTGTGTTTTTGTGAAGGTTTGCTCCCTCTGTTCGTCCCCCTGGCTGTAGACATGCGTCCATTGGTTTCTACTTCACTAGATCCCAGTATGGAGTGGCCCCTACAGTCATCATGTTGAGCGTTTCTTTTCCAGATTGGCCTGTAATGGAAAGGAAGGCTTCTGATTTTTTCTTTTCAAATAGCATAGCAAAAATCTAGGCATGTTGGCACACACCTGTAATCCCAGCAGTCAGGTGGCTGAACCTAGAGAGTCAGGAGTTCAAGGCTAGCTTGGGCTACATAAGTCACCCCTGTCTTAAAATCAAAACAAAAGAAGCTGAGCAGCAGCAGACTGTATGTCCCTTCCACCCCGCTGTCCACTACAGGAAGAAGCCCTGTGAGGCAGCCAGTCCAGCAGAGCAGTGTCCTTCTCCCAGTCCACGGCCCAGCCACTTGAATAGGAAAATCTGGGCTGTCTTAGAGTTACCTTTTTTCCTGATTTGTGCCAATATCCAAGTTCCTGACTTCCTTCCTGTATTATAACACTTTAGAAAGATGAGTTGTTTGCCAGTTAGATTCTGTTTGGGCCACCCTGGGCTAACAGCCTGCCCTTATCCCTCTGATGTCACAGACTCTTCTCATAGCCTCCTGGTTGCCTAAGTCACGATGGCCCCTGGATGCCTGCACATGGCTACAATGAATTACAGTAATTATTGCAAATCAGTGGAATTCTTGAGACGAGCAAAGTCTCGTGTATATTTGTTACCTCTTTCTTCCCCCTGACCCCCAGCTTTTCTCTCTGTCAAATCACAGGGCTTCTGAGCCCTCACATTGTTCCCACAATGGAAAGCCTAACGTACCAAAACGAAACTTGTAAATTTTGTGTCCTTGTATGTAAGTTCGCTTTCACGGAGGAAAGACTCGAGATAATGGCAGATGAAGATTATAGAATGTGTTTTACCCTGTGATTAGGTTCCACCACGTGGGTCATAGCTCGTGTACGAGCCCCCTCTGGTGAAGGCACGCACCCTGCCTCAGTGGCCAGCCCTTGGTGGTTCAGGTTCATTAGTCAGTTGAGTCCTCGCGCTCAGTAACAAAAATCACCTTTTCTTCCCTTTGTTTTTAATCTGTTTGTTGTTGTGGCAAAGTATGGATTTGTTATTACGCATTGATTTTCTGTGTCCTTAAGTACTGCCTAAAGATGAAGCAAAATTGGAACTGGCAATTACGAGAAGGAAATCCTTTAGCTCTGCAGAACTTAGTAGACTCTGTTAGGTTAGGGAGGCCTCACAGGCTGGTCGGCTCAGAGGACGGTCACTCGCTGTCAGTGTGGTGTGGGCTTTATTTGCTTAAATACCTTCATTTGTATAGTATGTCTCACTTGAAATTGCTTTGTATACATTTTGTAAAAATATTTATAAAATGTTTTGTAAAAAAAAAAGTATAACAAATTGCAGTTTATTTTGTTATGTTGGATAAATACTGTTAAAGCAGTCAGTACCTATATTGTTAATCCATGGTTAGGAAATGTTCAGTTGGAGATCACAAAATGAAACAACCATTGCAATACAGCCAAAGATTTGGGAAAATGTGTAACTGTGATTGTCGTGATTTTGCTGCAACTAGGAACTGCTCCTGTTCCCAGAAGAGGGTAAGTGTTCAGTGGGAATTCTGTGTATGTTTAACATGATCGAAAAAGCCTGCGGAGAGAGGACAGGATCTCAGCTGGTCTCTTCTCCACAGATTAAACACACTTGGTGAGTGAAGTTGGTCAGTACTGTGTGGTTACAGTCTACCCTGAGGTCATGTTTCTCTGCATGGCAAGTGTATGTGTGTACTCAGCGTCACACCATGGCTCCTGGTCAACCCCTCTGCATCAGGCATCGCCCCAGAAACGAGGCTTTGAAAAGGAAGACTAGAGGCTGGAGAGACGCTCAGCAGTTTAAAGCACTGGCTGCTCTTCCAGAGGCCCCCAGTTCAATTCCAAGCACCTGTGTTGGATAGTGCACGCTCATTTGTGACTCCAGTTGTAGGGATTTGATGCTGTCTAACCACAGGCATTATACACACGTACACACACACGAGTAAATAAAAACAAATGTTAGAGCATGTTGACAGGGGTCTAACCGCCACAGGCACTATACACACGTGCACACACATAAATAAAAACAGACCTTTAAAGCCAGGCAGTGGTGGTGCACACCTTTAGTCCCAGCACTTGGGAGGCAGAGGCAGGCGGATCTTTGTGAGTTTGAGACCAGCCAGGTCTACAGAGCAAGTTCAAGCCAACAACAGCAACAAAATATTTAGAAAATTAATAATACAGGACTAAAGAGAGGGCTCAACAAATATAAGCACTGGCTGCTCTTCCAGAGGACCTGGGTTTGCTCCCAGCACCCACATGGTGACTCACAGCTGCCTGGAACTACAATTCCAAGGCATCCAAACCCCTTTTCTGGCCTCGAAGGACACCAGACAACATGCTATACAGACATACACATAGACAAAAACTCATAATAAACTTAAAATAATTTTTTAAAGAAAATAATATGGAGCAGGGGCACTGGAGAGATGGCTCAGAGACTGTTCTTCCAGAGGTCCAGAGTTCAATTCCCAGCTCCCACATAGGAGCTCACTACTATCTATAAAGAGATTTGGTGCCCTCTTCTGGCAAGTGAGCATACATGCAGGCAGAACAGTGAATGATAAATAAATAAATCTTAAAGAGGGAAGAAAGATCTGGGTGGTGGTGGTGGTGGCACACACCTTTAATCTCAGCACTCAGTAGGCAGAGGTAGGTGGATCTCTGTGAGTTTGAGAAAACCTGGTCCACAGAGTTCCAAGACAGCCAGGGCTACACAGAGAAACCCTGTCTCAAAAGAAAAAAAAAAAAAACTATGGATTTTGAGAGCTAATTCAGTGGTTAAGAGCCTGGCTGCTTTTCACAGGGCTCAGATTCAACTTCCAGCATCCATGTTGTTCACGTCAATTCGATTACTTTGGGCCCAGGGCCTCTGAGGGCATGAGTGATGCACAAACACACATACAAAACAACCATAACGTAAATAAAATCAAAATAATAATTGTTATGGCCAGGTAACCAACAAGGATACCGAGTCCTGTATGTAAAAGCAAAGAACCTTTTTTCTTATTCAAGTTCGAACTCGGACTCTCTGTGTCCTGCGCATTGGCACGATCAGAGAGCCCCGGAAGCAGCTGGAGTTGGGTTTTTATAACAACAGAGGTCGGGGTGAGGGATTTTTTTAGGTTCAGGACCCTGATTGGCTGACATTTGTCTAAGGCTGTCTTGGTGAAAGGGGATGGGTGTGTGCTGGGCTTTGTACTATTAGGTATTTTCTCTCGGAAGATCCTTCCCTAGGTGGTCTTTCTTGGAACCAAGTACAGCCATAGGGTAAATGGAAGCCAGGCCTCTCTTGACCTTGTCATGGCTGTGCCCTAGAATAATAATGTCATAAATTTTATAAAGGATGTCTTTTCTGATTGCTCAGTTAGGGCCAAGGTCTCTGCATCCCCTTGGGGCATGCCCACCACAAATCAGGGCTTCAGTTGAGGTAGTGAAAGCTTCAGTCTGGCAGAGGAGTCACGTGCCAGAAAATGGCATCCCAGCCCTTCCTGAGGCAGACAGCAGCCAGAAAGAGCTAGCTAGCTACGGGGATGGAACCTTCCTTACATCTGGGGACCCTGGCACAGTAGGGAGTAGGGCCTGGGTGTAAAGTTTTTCCGGTCTAACAAGCCTCTCTGCAGATGCAATAATCCAAATCAGACCAAATCAAACCAAATGGGAAAAAGCCCAGGTTGAATGGATGCCAACATTCCCAGGTGGCCCTCTGGGAAAACATGGAGAGGTAGGGAGAGAAGAACTGGAAAGACCATGTGTTCCTTCTGGGGGGGGCAGTTTAAATAGCCTGTGGGAGTGATCTTGACCCTCTCTGGGGAGGCTCACCTTTTGGCAGGCTTTCTCGGGGATAGAGTCTGGACTGAGGTAACTCGCAGGGGAGGGGGCTTGAAATGGAGCTTTCCACCCAACTTTCCAAAATGGGTGTCAGAGGCTGGGGTGATGCTTCCAACCAAGCATCCCAGACATTTTGGGTAAGGATGTTAGGGGCTGAGGTGACACTTTCAACCAAACACTGAGCTCCAGAGTGTGTCTATGCCTCCCCTCTGTGTTTTCTTCTAGGCAGAAGTAGGGCTTTTCTGTCCAGCTGGAGAGGAAAGAGTTAACCAGCACTCATTTCTGGAGCAGCTCAGCTCAGCAGACTCTATGTGTTATAGCTCTGAGGGGAAAGGGATCCTGGCAGTTGGGAGCCAGGGGGATACCACACAGTCACACTGCACAACAAACCTCACACAGATTTAATAGAGAAGACACAAGAGGGTGGCTGCCTCTGCTTAGGAGAGAAACAGAAATACTGGACAGCAGACAGGCTTTATATAGGGCTTCTGGGAGGCAAAGGTTTTCATGTTCTGAGCTTGGGCATTTGCTCTGTAGGACGGAGCTTGGATGCCTGTGTCTCAGGGGCTGGGGATGTTGGTTTTGTCCATTGCACTGCTCTGTGGGGAGAACTGGAGCTCCTAGGGGACCGGACCTGCTCTCACAGGCCTCCTCTTTTGTTTATTACTGATAAACAGTCAGGGATTGGAAAGGGTGGGGTGGTGCTATCATTAGACTATTTCATGTTGAATGGGGCAGGCTTGATCTTCACTGTCCAGTATAATCGGAGTGGCAGGTGTGTATCTCCATAGCTAAAGTTCAGTAACCCTGTATTAACAATGGATTAAAAGCCTGGTTAGAGCTGGTAATCCCGGCACTTGGGAGGCAGAGGCCACCAGATCTCTGTGAGTTCAAAGCCAACATGGTCTACAAAAGGAGTTCCAGGAAGTCAGGCACAGAGAAACCCGGCCTCGATAGCCAACAACAGCAAACAAATTGTAATCGTTAGTGTTGGAAGGAGACCACTTGTTCTTCCCGGCTGCCTGGCTCGCTTAGACCCAAAATAATCACACAGAAACTCTATTAATTAAATCACTGCTTGGCCCATTAGCTCTAGCTTCTTGTTGGCTAATTAAATCGATCTCCAGCGGCAGCTCCATGGCATCTCTTTACTCTGCCTTCCTTCTCCCATCCTATAGGCCAAGCCAGTTTTCTTTATTCACTAACCAATAAAATCAACACATAACAGAAGGACCTCCCACACCATTTCCCCTTTTCTGTTTAAACAAAAAGGAAGGCTTTAACTTTAACATAGTATAATCACATATAACAAAACAGGTATCAAACAAGAACTACAGTTACAATATTTATATCTATTTTATCTTTTATCATAATTAAGGAAAACTATAACTATAACCATTTATTCTTCAACTCCATCAAGGACCCCAGAAGGATATAATATTACCTAAGTAAACATGAAATTCATTATAAGCATCTTCCAAAACTCTAGAATTGACAGAGACATCTCGCTGCCTGTACAGTCACCCAAAGTTCTTCTGTACCGTTGGGGCATCCATCTTCAGCCTACAAGCCCATAGTATCCAGCAGACTTTCCCATGAAGCAGAACATTTCAAAGACAGTTCCTACTATATCAGTCACTTTTTCTGTCTGTGTCCTGCAGAATGTCTCGCAGACTCTTTTTTTTTT